CTGTGCTGTCACGGTGGGGTGGGTGCCATATAAGAAAGCAAGCCTCCATTTCTGCCCAGAGCCAGGCTGTTACTAAAGGCAGGAAGGGGGAGATTCCTGTTTGAGGAAGGGGACGGACAGGGACCCTGGCTTTTCTTGGATTCGGTTCCACTTGTCCTGGATTTCGGCAGTGGTAGTGGTGGGGGGAGGGAGGGGGGTGTTGGGAGAGCGCGTGGGCAGTGGTAGGAGGGTCGCACAAAGACGGTGCCAGGCTGGAACGAGAGTCGTCCGAGGAAGAGATAAAAGAGAAGGATCCCGTGGGGTGGGGGTGGTGCAGGGGGCAGCGGGGATGTGCTGGCTGGTGTTGGTTGTGGTTGGTGGTGGTGGATGGGGTTGGGTTGTAGAAATTCCGGAAAGGTGAACAAAAAAAAACGGATGATGCCACTTGGCCGTCTCGCTGTCCCTGGGAAGATGTCCGGTGGATGTTTATCGCTGGGAAACAAACAACAACTACAAAAAAAAAAAGATGCTGTTGTCCTGCCTCTCAAGTTTGAAATGAAAAGGCTTCTCGTTCTCGCTGTCTTTCTCTGTCTCTCTCTCTCTCTCGCTCCCTCTGTTTTATTCTTCTTGTTCTCCCCTGTTGTTTGCTGTTTGGCACTGTATTGACTGGCAAGGGAACAGTTGAGCACTGAATAGACCAAAGACTGGCACAGGCTGGAGGGCTGCCAAGGCTGACTGGGAGAGATGCCGGCTGCAGAGGTTGGTATGCTGGTGGTGGAGAGCCGACTATGAGTTGAAGTACTGAAGGAGGAGAGGCAGGGGAAGTGTGTGTGTGTGCCGTGGTGGTGGGTAGGTGGGTGTGTTACTGGGAGAATGCAGCAGTAACACACAGCTTGGCAGACACTGGGGGCATTCTTTCGTGTGACATTGGATCCGCTTTGCGTTTCAGGAAAGAGCAAGCTGGAAACCACCATTTTTCAGAGGGTTCTTTGGCTAGTTATTGCTTTTATCATCTGTTGCATGTTGCCTCTGCTCCCAGCAAACGTTCCTGTTCTTTGTTTTTCATGGCTGAAGTCAGCAGATTGTCTGCCATCTTTTCTAGCTCGGGAAAAAAAAAAAAGTGCAGACACATTTGTTGCCAGTTTTTTCGTGCACAAACTGGCAAGCTTCACCTTGCATTCAAGTGGCCGTGTGCCAGCATATTTTAATCTACAGTATTTATTATTTTCCCTGGCTCTTTTTCAACATGCAGTTTTTGGTAAATGGTTTTTCAGTTAAATTTCTTTAATAAATGGGAATCAAAGGACTAGTATTGACCAGCATGATTTCTTTCTAACAGCTGAGCAGTTTACATCCTTAAATTTGGTCTTTTTGCATCCTTGATATGCTGTGCTTTCATTAAATACAATGCATGCATTATCAGCAGTGATTTACAGAGCAGCCTAAACAAATACCTTTTCGTTAAGTGAATGACTTTTCCCTTAATATTCCGAAGAAACTGTAGCCTTTTCTGCACTTGACTGAACACCAGGCATGACAGTATTTTTTGAGATGGGATGGTTTAAGCTGTTTTGTAATTACGAGCTGTAGTTAATGAATATGTCTTATTATAGCACATTTTTATGTAAGGGATTGAGTGTTGCCTTTGATCAGTCAGTTTATCTGGAATTGTGAAACAGCGTAAAAGGCAAGTCTGCAGGTTGGTAACTCCAGTTTTTACAGCATGGCCAAACCATTTAATTACAGGCTTAGTATAATTAATAGATCAGGCTGCTGATTAATTAATACCTAATACATGAAGAAGTTTTATTTTATGTCTTGTCTTGCAAATTTAACATTTGCTCTCTTTGTGTCATTTATCATGCCTGCTTGCTTTATGTTTTCGGCAAAATATATAACATGCTGTATGTATGTATTAATTTTGTGAAGACAGTTCTCTTCTGAAAAGTAGTTGTGTGGTCTGCCAGTGGTTACAGTAGCTTCTCAGAGGCTCATCATTCCTTATCTCTCTGTGCTTGGTTGTCGCTGTACATGATGACACTTTTCAAGTGGTGTTGGATTGTAAACGTCTGTCACAGTAAACTTCCTTTTGGAGGCTGCTGTTTTAGTTAAATTAACTTAAACGAACTCAAGAGACGAGTTTCAGCCTCGAGTTCCAGCACGGCGAAAATGGGTCTCCAGATCAAATACAGGATGGTGGGGGTAGTGACACTGTTCCAATGGCACTGCTCAGAGTGCAGCCTGGCCCCCTCCATCCACAGCTGCCTGAGCTGTGTCTGCTTTTAGCCCAGCTGGGACTAGGATCCTCCAGCCCTACAGAGAGCTGCTTGCAGAATGGTGCAGGGGGTAGAGGGGACTGAGTCAGCCAGGGAGACATAAAAACGTGACTCCTGTCACCTGCTGGTATCGGTGAACCTGCAGTGATCTCGGCAAGCACTGCAGCACAGCTCAGCTCTTTCTTGAGCTCACTGTGTACAAGGGCAAGCGGAGAAAGGCACACTCTGTATTTCTTCCTCTGGGTTTGGGTTGGCGATTCCTTAGGGTCAGAGGTTGTGAAACAAAAGAATATTTGACCATCTCACTTTTTTTTACAAAAATGGTCTCATCTCTGCTTCCCTTCCTCCCCCCCAAAACAATATCCTTACTTGAAAAAGGAAGTTTTGATGTTGTGCTCTAGATTTAAATAATTAATTTACGACTTCCTCTTTTTTAATCAATTATTCGTAAGCTGCAGTTCAACATGTTCTGAAAGCCTTTACAGTGTCTTTCATTTCTGCTTCCTTTTTGGATTTTATATACCTTGGTGATTTCACAACTGTTGCATGCTCCAGAGCGGAGTTTTGATTGTCTTTACATGGGCCAATGTGTTTGTCTTTAGAGCTCTGTCCCCAGCAGTTTTCCTGCTGTGCATCATGCCAGCTGGGGGTGGTCATGCTTTAAATCAAACTGAGAGATTCAGAGGTCAGCCTTCTGTCCAGCAACACTGACCTGGCGGTTTGTCTCCGTTCGGCCTCCTCATACTAAGACAAGTGAAAGGTGGGGGTGGATACTGATTTTTTTTTCTATGGCTTCATTTAATGTCAAAAAAAGTGCACCTCAAGCGATTAACATCTAAACAAAAACAAATTGCTTCCTTCCCATTGTTTGGATTCGTGGGGATCATGCGAGTTTATCCCTTAACATCTCCGCAAATGCGAAATACTGTTTTATGTGGTTCGTGCTGTGATGGGTAAAACAATAGCCAAATCCGAGATCTCAGCATAGAGTGGATTATTTTAATCCCAGTGCACATCTGTGATTGTGTTTGGCTTGATTTAAAATATTCCAGTTTAATAGGGCTGGCAGTCATCACACTACCCCCAGTCTGCTGTTTCCGGGTTGTGTTTTTATAGATTCTACAAATTAAGAGCAGGAGGGGGCAGGGGGGTGAGTGCCCCATTGTAGCTCAGGCCCAGTGTCCACAGTGTGTACCAGGCAGGGAGGGCAGTGATCTCTGTGGGATAAACTGGAGAAGAAGAGAGCATGGATGATCGGTCATTTCTCTCCAGATAGTGGTGGGAAGGTGTTGGTATTGGTACAGCGCAAGAGAGGTTAAAGCAAAATAATGATCTAAGCATGAATGACACAAAGCACTTGTTTTGATTCTGCTTAATCAGAGCCCCTGTCGAGACTGAGCTAATCTTTCATTTTTATTCACCTGATGTGGGGCCCGGTGACCCTCTGTGTGCCCCCCTCCCTCCTATACAGCACTGGGGTCCTGGATGAAATTGTACACCTGTCTGCGTGGAGTTTGCACGTTCTCCCCATGTTCGTGTGGGTTGCTTCTGAGTGCTTTGGTTTCCTCCCACATTCCAAAGACACCCTGGTAGGTTATTTGGCTTCTGTAAATTGGCCCTGGTGTGAGTGTGTGTTTGTGTCTGTGTCTGTGTGTGCCCATCCAGGGTGTATCCTGCCTTGTGCCCGTTGCTTGCTGGGATAGGCTCCAGCTCCCCCTGGCTGGATGAAGCAGTTAGAATTTCAGCTTCTTCAGTGCAGGGCATTCCCTTAAGCTCTGGAATGTATCCAATTGCTCTTCTCTGGTCTGATTCCAGAGCAACACGACCCTTTTTTACCTCATCCCAACTTCTATAATGCTTCATAGTTCTTTATTTGTCTTTTCTTTTCTTCTCGCAGAAAAGCACGCAGTGAGTGGCCACCCCACTGTTGAGCCGTTTCCTGACGGGATGGAGCTGGTCATGTTCGGTAAGACAGACAAGATCAGACACTGAGAGCACTTCCCAGTGCCTGCAGTTTGCTTTCCCTTTTGCACGAGGAGCTTCTGCCTGCAGCTTGTCTCGAGAGCAGGCTCAAGTGGGTCTGTTAACTCCGTTTAGATTGCTTTTGTTTCCAGGGCTCGATCAATGCGGGCTGATTGCATTAGCTGTTATTAAAGAGCCTTCATCATTGGAAGCATAAAGAGAGGATTAACAAGGAAAACCTGCACAACACTAATACAAAAGGGGGAGGTTTTATTCTTCTCTTGAAAGAATACAGAGATCAACTAAAAGGGAGTAAATATAGAGTAAGGGAGATGATGAGATACATGTGCTTGATTGTTTTCTATGCAGCCATGAGATGTTAGGATTCTCCCTGTCTCCACTGTGCCAGTGTAAGGATGAGAAGTAAGTAAGAGCTAAGTATCTCTAGCAGGGAACATGTCCCTCATGGTCATATCATTTTCATAATATTGTGACATGCCAGAAGGTTGGGGAGTCATAACAAGCAATCTTTTAATATGTGGATCCCAGGAAAACTGAAATCTTAGCCGTAAGGTACCAGGTAATGCTTTTTATTTACAGTGTGAGCTGATTACTGGCTTCAATACATTCAACCCTCACACAGACTCACAGTTCCACCTAGAGGTTTGTCCTCAGAGGGTCCTCTGTTCTGCTGCTCTTTCACTTCACTCTGCATTTGTTATCTCTTTTGCCTCTTTTCTCCTGGAAGCCTCAGTTTCATTGTTTTTTAAAAGCCAGTGTGAAATGTCTTCACTTCTTCTCCCAACTAGTCAGGTGACTGATAGCGGTAGGGCATCACCCCCCTCCACAGCTTTCTGGGTAATGTAGTTTAGGCTAGAGCCACCATCTTGCCTGAGCCTGCCATCACCTCTTGCCTGAGATGAGTTTCTGTGTTGCAGGTATGGGCTGTTTCTGGGGTGCTGAACGGAGGTTTTGGAGGACGCCAGGTGTATTCTCCACCCAGGTCGGATATTCTGGAGGAATCACGCCCAACCCCACCTACGAGGAGGTGTGCACAGGTATGTTTGAACCACCATCTCAACCTGCTGCAGACTTCCACTGTAGTATCTCCAGCATTCATTTCTTCATGCAAAGGCTTGTGGATGAACATGTAATCATCATTAAAAGTCCCTGTGCACAGCCCTCAGTATAGAAAAAGAATACAGTTTACGACAATTATATATGCAATGTGCAGTTGGGAATTGTCTTTTCACCATTTAACAATCTGTGTTGTTGTCGTTACATAGTGGCTAACTTTCTGCTTAACTATCTAGAGAGGAAAAAACTCACCAGCCCTTGGAAAGTGTTGTTCAACATGTCATTGAAATCCTTCGGTTGCTTCTCATTGCTGTGTTAATTGACATATGCAGATCTTAGCTTCTGAAAATGAGCTGTTAATACAGTATCTAAATTCCAACTGGCAAAAGACACTTTTCTTATTACTGTGGTTGCTGTAGAAGTAGAATATGGCCTGGCTGCCTGAGAAACTATTCAGAAGTTTGAATAGGCTCCTGGTTGTTGTTTTACCTGATACCTCATGAGCTACAGCAGAAAAAAAGCAGTGTTTTTTGGGGGGGAAATAGAAATCTCCTCAAAATAACAGACACTTGAATTCACCTCACAAGCACTATTAAAAGTAGTAGCAGAATGTGAAAACTGACTTCAGAATTGAGTAACTGAAATGTTGGCCTGTTTCTGAACACGTGTATGTCTCCTCTATACAGAAAAAAACATCTTTCTCCCAGGGGCCACCCAGTGTTACCTCAGCTCCACCACAGGTGTTGTCCCTTTAAGAGTGATCAGTAATTCAGAGGATAACTAGCTGAGGTTTTGCATGCATTTATTCATGATGATTGTCATGCTCCTGTTGCTAGGCAACTAGGTGCCGTAAGAACGGAAGTATCCTGCCTTCATTGCGACATGTGCCATGCTAGGCATGTAAGGGACAAACTAACTGAGCGTCTCTTGTCTAAAAGCTACTTATGTTATACTTTATGAGGATGCAGTGCAGAGAACATAAAATCACATTTCACTAATGTTTCAGGATTTGAGGTTTAGTTTGACAAAAAACCCTGAAAGATTATAATTCATTATAATTAAGTAAGACGAAAAAATCACCACAACAATTTGCTGGTTATTGTGTTCAGCGATCATAGACTACTACACTAGGTATTTCCTTTGTTTTATACTGTACAGCTCTGTGCTCCTCCACACTGCGGAGCTCTGTGCTCAGATGTACTGCAGAGCTCGTGCTGTTCTTTAACTTTATAATGCTCTTGCATTACTGCATACATTTTAGGATTGTTCCAATACTGTATTAGAACTCGGTTTGTTCTTCTTCATGCTGTAACAATTATATGGCCAACTACTGAAAGTTTTGTTTTATTCATTTTAAAATAACAGTTAATGTGGGATTTGTATTTTTTAGTACAAGGCGTCGCCTTTAGGCTTTCTTCACGTGTCAGGAGAAAGTGATGTTAATCATGAGGAGCACAGCAGTGGGTCAAGTTCGATGTCATCTGTAAATGTGATGGATGAGCTGCTACAGCACTTCGTATTGGCCGTTCCTGTACAGTTCACCTTGAGGAGCGAACGGGTTCTGGAAGTTTCTGAGTCACAGAATTGCTCAATCGTCAGAGTTTGTGAGGGGGACCTGCACCTCGGTGTCAGTAATACCTCAGACTTTGCGGCTGCCTCCCTCTCTTTTCAACACGATTATCCTGCATCACTGTTAACCCCCCCAATTCCTGTCCCATCCATGTGACCTACTTCCAGAAAGCCGGCACATCGGAAAGCTGTGCTGTGCCTCCCTGAGGCCTCCTTCTCAGCTCACGCTTAATTGCAGATTTGAATAATCTAGGAGCCGCAGTAGTCAGAGCTCAGTTTCTGAGGAGGTATAATATTTGTATCAATGTTTTTAATTGCAGGCGCTAATCTGTTAGCATGCAGGGAGAGAGAGAGCGAGAGCAGGCTTTTTCGGGGGTTTTTTTATCTGTCAAAGGGTTTAGAGGGCCGCTGAGAGTACCGGGGCGTGATGGCTGGGATAATCCATCTGTATGAAACACTGCTGTGTGCACATGGTTCGAAAGATCCGCTGCGCAAAAATTGGATGTCTGTTTTGCTTTGGCCTCGTGCATCACCCTACTCTCTTTTTAATGTCCTCCTGCGAGTACGCTGTAGCACAAGTTACTCAGTAGTATGTGCATGCGTAAAAAAGTAAAACATTAAGCATGGCAGATGCAGCAGAAATTACTGGTTACATTACAAAGCTGACTGGGAGAATCACCATAGCTGTTATTAAGCCCAAATGAGTTGGCATTTTTGAGATTGTGAGATTTCAGTTTTTGCTGAGATTCTTTTAGGTGTTGTGTAGTGATGAAGCTCATTGCCCATGACTAGGAGAGCTATAATCAGTAAATAAAATGAAAACGATACAAATCTTTTACTGATTTTTACAATGTAGAGTATCATGGTGCTTTGGCCTTTGACGTATCATGTGCTTTTTTATTGTGTATGGGGGATATGTAGTCTGTGTTGTCTCTTTTTTGAGCTGTGCTGTGCGGTGTGATCTTTTTCTTTTCTTCTAACTGTGCTTTTGTTTTTGTCCTTTTTTTGTTAGTACAGAACAATTGCATTTTAAGCAATATTTTTTGTGATCGATTCTCTCTTTTATTGTATACCGTCTTTGTTTTATTCTCTTTGGAATTCAATTTTCTGTATTCTCAGGCACTTTGAGACGATTGCTTTTAAAGGCACTATCAAAAATGAAGTTTATAATTAAGGGGGCAGTCGTGTAACTTTAGGAATTATTGAAGGATAACCAGGCAGAGGAAAACCCTGGTTCTTTTCTTAAAAGATCCGCCTCACGCTGGTTTTGCTGCAGTCGTTTAAAGGAGGGTGTTTTTGGGTGCACCCAAAGACAGATTGCAACCTGTTGACTCTCTCTCTTCATGAGCAGATTGTCATCATGGGTGTTTTCTTGTCAAACTCTGAGTCTCTCATCTGTCCCACAAAAATACCCACTTAGTCTTCCTAAAACCTTTGTTTTCTCTGAATGTGAATGATGGGAGTCCCCAGACAAGTAGCCTTTTGGGTACAGGGCAGTAACGGTCCTTGTTTGTGACTCTTTTATGTCCATAATGACAGACGGTGACTAACTCTCTTCCAAAAAGTGACCGGTTGTGGATTATCCTTTCATTGCTGCGTTTGCACTTAATCTTAATGGTGTTAATCTGTTAATCCCAAAAGGGGATGAAGTGGAATATCAATGTCTGATGTAAAACTTGTCCTCAATGGGGTTTTAAAATTCTGCAGGGCATGTCTGCTCCAATCTGTCTGCACTTTCTAGCTTGATATATGGGATATACTGTACATGTGCCTTGTGTTTGGAACTGATAAACTGCAGAAATACTATCCATTTGGAAGTGCCGTTTCTTTATTTAAAGTAAATTATTGATTGTAGTTATTTGGTGGCCTCCATTGGGAATGGACAGATCTGAATTATTTTGTTTCTTGAGTAGTAGAGAGGTGACGCAATTAGTGCTTCTGGTAGAAGTTATTTTTCCAGATTATTCGCTTGTTTTCCATTCGGCGAGCCTGAGCATCGGCGCTGTGCTTCGAGTCAGTCAGGCAATGTCAGTATTTCAGGATGAAACCAGTGAACGCTGCTCTGTGGGCTCAGTCTGTTCTTTAAATAGGCATCTTTACTGGTGTGGCTTCTTGGGGCACAATTGAAGTTTTTAAATGGGAACAAATCTCCAATCTGTAATTTGTCTTTGCAACGTCACTAGTCGAGAGATGTTATTTCAGATTGTCAAACAATAGAAGAGCACAAGGCTGAGAATAGAATTGTCACAAACTCTGACGATTGAGCAATTCTGTGACTCAGAAATTTCCAGAACCCGTTCGCTCCTCAAGGTGAACTGTACAGGAACGGCCAATACGAAGTGCTGTAGCAGGTCATCCATCACATTTACAGATTACATCGAACTTGACCCACTGCTGTGCTCCTCATAATGATTTAATAATTATTAGCAGATCCTTAAATTTGCTACACTTTTTGAGTTTGTAAAACCCCTGACTGAATCCAATAAAAAAAGTGGTTTACGTTTTTATTTTGTCAGGGAGTGCAGCAGAGGATTGCTCACAAGTCAGTATCTGCCTCTTTGAAGCAGTGTGATGGAAGCAGCAGGAGGCCTTCCTGGTGTATGTCTGAGAGCTTACTCTGTAGGTGTGGGTGTGTGTACAGTGTGTTTGTGTGGGAGTGTGTGTTGGCATGTGTGAGTGCTGCCCTGCTGACCTTGTGCAGGCTCTTCCCTGAGCATGCCCGTGGGCGGCTTGTCAGAACACAGGGGTCCTTTCAGCCCTAAGCAAGGAGGCTGCCCCCCACAGTGCCTGTTTGCTTTTGGCACTCCTCTCCCTCTAGAAACAGCAGATCTGCTCCCATTCAACCCTAAGGTATTTTAAATATTACTCTTTTGCTTTTTTTCTGCTTAGGTTACAGAGGAGTATGGGCAAATAAGCAAAGGTTGATAAAGGATGACAGCAGAGGTAGATCTACTTAGATGATACCCATATGAAAGCGTTCATTAGTGAATTTACCATAGGATTATTACACTTTTATCATGTGTGGGTTTGCCTTAGTTTTGCAGTGGTTTCTGAGTGTTTAAACATGTACTTTACAACACTGTGTAAAGTTACATAGATCATTTGAATTTGTCATGTTGTGCACAGCAGCATTGCCAAGTCCCAAGTGTCCTAACGCACAGTGATTTCCTCGTTAAACATGTCAGAATCATAGGAAACCACAGAGCAGCCACAAAGTGCCTCAGTTATACCCGATTAATGGTTGGCAATCTCAAAACTAGAAGCACATAAAAAATATGAACTGGCTGTTCCACATTCAGAAAAAGAACCTACACAAGCTAATGTCTCTAGAATTGCCCACGGGTGCAGACGTGCTGAAGGGGTGGAGTGGTGGCACTGTGGCTAAGGATCTGCGCCTGTGGCTGGAAGGTTGTCGGTTCAAATCCCGCAGCTGGCAGAGGAATCCTACTCCGTTGGGCCCCTGTGCAAGGCCCTTAACCCCAACTGCTCCAGGGGTGCTGTACAATGGCTGACCCTGCGCTCTGACCCCAGGCTCTCTCCCTATCTGTGTGTCTGTGTGTCTCATGGAGAGCAAGTTGGTGTATGCGAAAAGATGAATTCCCAATGCAAGAAATTGTATGTGGCTAATAAAGTGATCTTATCTTATCTTAAATGCGGTTCGAGGCATTCTGAGGAAAGGGGCTTGACTTTCCCTGTCTGCTGTTTGGCAGGGCTGACGGGGTACACTGAGGTGGTGCGCGTGGTGTACGATCCACAGACTGTCAGCTTCGCGGACCTGCTGAAGATCTTCTGGGAGAGCCACAACCCCACAGAAGGTAGGACTGTGCCAGCTTCCCCTTGCTACACCATCCCAATACTCTACATTGCCTCAACTTTCCTGTAGTTCCCTGTACAGTCGTTTGATTCCTCATACCTATGTTAATGTGATTTCTGTGTGGTGTACATTTTGGGTTTTACCATGGCATACCGATGTAGTGTACTGCAGTAGAACGTTTCAGGTTGAACTGCACCTCAGGCAGAGGCAGTGATCAGGCTAGCATGTTATCTACCAAGAAGTTCTGAGACACTGGGGGCATGCAGGAGAGGGTGCCATTCCCATTCAGAACAGTGAGAAAAACATAGAAAATTAAATACCTGCTGGAGTGCTGTATGTTAACTGGACCTTGAAGTGATCAACAGAAACTGGGAAGAGTTAATGAAATGTGTGCGATGTCAGTAGCAGAACAGAGTACAGTTAACTACAGTGTTTTCTTATAAGTGACACATTCACTCTACTGTGACCGAGCTGCATATTTCGCTGATCCGCCAGTGACAGAAGAAAAAACGATTAAATATTGAATTACTCTCGCATCTTCCATTCATGTTTGTGTAGCTTTGCATGCAAAAGATCAAGGTGGAAAAAAATGGGTTTGTCTGGATAATTTAAAGGAACTGATCCCAGCTTTGAATTGAAAATGGCTAGGAGTTGACGGAAACGTGATCTGCATTTTAAGAACGCAATTGAGATGAAATATTTCTGTTTGGGAAAGATAGAAACTCCCCAGAAACATACATAATACATATTTCTTATTGTACATTTTAAAAAAGCATAGAGAAATTGGCAGATTAAACACCAGTGAAATAAAGTGAAAGGTTGTAGATAGTGCAGGTCTTCGGTTTCCCACTGCTTGGCTTCTGCCCTATTTTGTTTTTGAAATGGTTAGTGCTACGGTGTGAATCGATGCAGTTGTGATGCAGAAAAAAGCTTTGATTTGTCTCGACAGCCGTGGATTTCCAAGACCCTTATATATATATGTGTATTTCAACAGGGAGGCCTGATTCAGCTAGGGCAAGGCCTGTGTGTGAGGGTAACTGCAGTCTGGCAGGAGCAGAGAAAGGATTAAGCAGCCAGGTGAAATAGAGAGGCTTGTGCCTGCTGACGCACCAGGCAGAGCAAGGCCACCTGCTGGGGCTGTGTCTCCTCTCCCGCTCTTCTGAGGAGGTGATGTAATGGCATAAAAATTCCATGAGGCTGCCAGCCACTCTGCGCACCCACACAGCACAGCCCGGGAGAGTCTGATCAAAGATTCATGAAGCCTGACCCTAGTATCTGCCGATAGGAGCTCTTTGGAACGACGCCGTCTTTGCAACGGTGCGCAGAGACTGTGTTGCGCACTGCCCCCTGCTGATAGGAGTGAAGCATTTATTTGGTTTGTTTTTTTAACTCGCAAGTTCTTTCGTAATCGGCAAACACTGCGCTGAAGGCGGGCCCAGTTGGTGTGTCTTTTGGGCTCATTTCAAAATGGATGGGTGTCAGGGAAGGTTCAGAAAACATTACTCCTGCAGTTCTCTACTTGCAGAGAAACTCCTCTTGAAGTCTGTCGAGGGACTGCATGCGCTCCGGCAGTGCAAAGCTTTATCGTCAGTCTCCCACAAGTCAGTGAGGGGAATTTGGGAAGAATGAAAAAGGTATACGGGTGAAATTAATCTGTGTGCATACAATGATTTCCAGAGGTAGGATGTAAGACATGGGCACAGTGGCACAGTGGTTAGCATTGTTTCAATTTCTGAGGTGCTGTCTGTGTGGAGTTTGGATGTTCTTCCCTTGTTCGCATGGGTTTCCTCCAGGTACACCGGTTTTCCTCCCACGGCCTAAGGAAATGCCGGAAGGTTAATTGGGTTCTGTCAAAAAAACTGCCCCAGCTGTGAGCGCGTGTGTTTGTGTTCCCATGACCCAGAATTGGATGAAGCTATCTCCTGTGTCACGGTTAAGATGGCCGATTCATGCCGCAAAGAGTGCCGTGATAGGAGACGGAAGACGGAAGATGTCTCCCTTCTCCTCAAGTCACAAGCGAGGACTCCAACACCCAGGTCCAGCAGCAAACTCCCTGCTCCCTGCTCCGCACCTCACAGGGGGCTGCTTCCTTCGGACCTGACCAACCCCCCATCACTCCAGGGCCAGCACCCCTCCATCCTCCGCTGCGGAATATTCTGGAAACGGAGAGTCAAATAAAGAAGCGGTGACTCAAGGAAAAAGAAAATAAAAGAGTCTCGTCCTTTTACTGCCCCTTTTACTGTCTTAGTGTGCAATGCAGTTACTCTAGGCACACAACTCCTCCCCTGCTCCCCAGTGGACTCTGGGATCTTGCTGTGTCTGGGGGGAGGGGGGGGGGTAGAATATTCTCCTTCCTTTCCCCTCTCCCTGCTTCAACCCACAGCCTACGTTCCTCCATCGCAGGTCCCCAGACCCTGCGCCCCGCCCCCACCCCCCGGCGTCTCTCCTCCTCATCCGCAGTGTGCTTCAGAAGCGGAATTAGCAACCCCCCCCCAGGCGGGCTGCTCGTCCCGTCCCACGCTCTCCTTTTCATCTGGAACACGGGATGCCGCTGTCCAGGCGTGTTCAGCCACGCAGGCCTGGCGGCCCACGCCCCCAGTATCCCAGAAGGCAGTGTGTGTGTGCTTGCGTTCTCCCCCTGGCCGGTCAAGCTAGCAGCCAAGTTTCTGGCCAGGTTGCCTCCTTCGCTGTCAGTAAGAATGCAGAAAAAAGCTCGGTGACATAGCAGATTTTCCTTTTCTTCTGTTGGATGAAAGTAAAAAGTTCTTTTGGCTCTTTATTTAAAAGCAGTTAGATTGCCAGCATAACACCTTCACTAGGGCTGCATGTACTGTATAGAGCTGTCATAATTTATTTATTTATGGCTGTTGTTGAAAAAGACATACAGTAGTAGGGATATCATGTATGGTTTGGATCATCTTTAATATGTATCTTTTATGTTTTTTTGGAAAAAAATACTTATAATAAAATTATTGCAGTTGTCTAGTGCTTTTCATTGTAAAGGAACCTGAGGTTAGGTCCACACAGGAAGGTTCCCACAGCTATCTGGGTGATACACAGCAGCTATACTGCACCAGCGGCCCCACTGCACAGGAGATGAGGTGAAACGTAACACATTGCGTAGAATTAACAGGGAGCTTTAGGTAAGCTGGATTGTACAAATCTGGAGCTGTACTTAGCCAGAACATCAGGGTTAACCTCCCCTGTTCTTAAGAACAGCTATGGAATCTTTTAAGACCACCATTTTCAAGACTTTGGTTAACATGTCGTCTGAGGAAAGACACCTCCTGCTGGTGGTTTTATCCTGTTACTGGTCCACCAGAAACAGCCTGCTTTTCCTCTGAGGCCTCCTGTCTCAGTACTGGTCAGGGTCAGGCCTGCTCTTTCTTAGACTCGGGGGCTTGCCAAGATCAAGCTGCAGGGTGAGTTATAACGTTACTGTGCCTTTTTAATGTTAAAAGAGTCCGATGTCTCTTTTTATTTCCTTGGAATTTGGAACTGCCAGATGCTAATCAGCGGTGACATCCATGCTTGCAAAGGTGGATTGAGGGCCATGCACATGTTTTTGTTAGGGTTGCACTGTGCTTTACAGGAAACCGGGCATCAGTTGAAAGAGTGGTGCTGTTCTCCAACACAGACAGGGCACCCGGTCCCAGTGGCAAGAGGAAGGAAGTACTGAGAACCAAGGCAAGGGTTACTGAGTGCTGTCGTCTGGGAACCTCTGGCTCAAGCTGTGTGTGGAGTCCAGAGTCCAGCCTGCGCTGTGAATGAGCTCCTTTCCTAATTGAGCCACTCAGGATATACCACAGGTTTTCGTGTCACAGATGAAACGTGCGCGGGTGTCTGATTCTGCAGCAGCTCTGCATTCTCTAGTAGTATGGGGATCCACAGCTGTGCCGGATTCTGTCACTTTGTCAGGTCCTGTCACATTGTCATGTTCTGCGGCTGTGACAGCTTCTGTAGGGGCGTAAGATCCTGTAGGTGTGCTGGCTTCTGTAGTCTCAGATTCTGCACCTGTGTCAGATTTTGAAGCTGCGTTGGATTCTGTCTGCCTTTATCTAACACAGCTTTCCACATCCCTGATGTGGTTCTCTTCATAAGACCCTAACAATGGAAAAGTGTTAGGACCTTTTTATTGTGAACATTTTAAAAAATATCTTTCAATTAAAAAAAAATAAAAAAATGTAATCATGTTCCACGGCAGGAGGTTGATAGTAGAGTAAACTTTTTAGACCCTTTACATATTTGTGGTGTCCTAGAAATCTGCAAGTTCAAGGGTGCAAAACTGAAACTATGTAGAGTCTGATGCATATGTAGGGAATGCATGAACAAAAATGTATTGGTTACATTCTGTATCACTGTCAAGTTGCATGGTATTGTCACTTATCCCATAGTTGTACTGTTTATACCTTATATACATAAGAAAAAATAAGGTTCCCAGCATATCTGTCACCATAGTGTGGCCTTGGAATTTATTCCATGCAGTAAAAATTCACTGTGTTCAGAATGGGTTTTACTCATATTGACTGTTAGCCAGAGTGGCACAGTAGCACAGTGGTTAGTATTGTTGCCTCGCAGTCCAGGGGCCCTGTCTTTGGGCTCTGGGGTGCTGTCTGTGTGGAGTTTGCATGTTTTCAATTGGCTCACATGGGCTGCTCAGTCCAAAGACAAGCTGGAAGGTTAATTGGCTTGTGTAAAATTGGCCTTGGTGTGAGTGTGTGCGTGACTGTGTTTGTGTATGCGATGGACTGTCATTTTGTCCAGGACGTATCCCGCCTTGCTCCTGTTGCTCACCAAGATAGGCTCTGGCTGCACTGTGGCCCCGTATTAGATGAATCAATTAAAAAATGGATGGATGAAGTCACCCTGTGTCCAGCATGGCCCCTAAGTTTTGTTCTGTGCAGTTGAAAAATCACTGGCATTAACTTTATTTAGCCCCTTAACATCTTGAAGATATTCAAATTTCCCATTAGACTGAAATGATAGTTCCTTCACCCTGTC